AGTTTATAGGAAGAGCTTGTGTTATCTCAACATCTTCCTTGGATCACAAATGCTGATTCTTCAGGTTTTGGTAAGGAAAAATTTCCAAGCACGTTGACTTCCAAAAATATATTTCAAAATGCCATTAAGAAGCACTCGCTTAAAACATAACCTGCATTCATAGCTTTTAGCAAGACTTGCTTTTCTCTGCCTAAATGACACTGACAGCATTGGGCAATTTGTGAACTAAAAAGAAAAAAAAGTTCTTAGAGACATTCTCTTTTACCCTGTCTGCCTTTGTGCTTTTTATATTTTTTGAGGAATAAAATCATAAACCTGCAAAAGCATGTTTTCAGTGCAACATCTGATCTTTAGCTAAAGCATTTTGCAGTAGCTGCTTTTACCTTTTCTTGGCTTCTTGGGTGTTTGTCCGCGCAAGAACAATTGGAATTCATGAAACAAAATAGGAACAACAAATATCCAGTTGCATACATTGATTTTTCAATGATGAAGCTGCACTTCAGGCTAAGAGTGGACAGAAATGCAAATTCCGAGAACACACCGTCTTACTGACAACAACATGCACACAAAGGGGACTAAAACCTGTCCATGAGACTGGTTTCTCATTCCTAGTCCCAAGTAAAAAGGCTCTGAGAGAGTCTCTGCAAACTATTGTCCAACACACACTGTAGGATAAACACTAATTTGTTGTTGTGGAGGTAATGGTGTTTTTTTTTCTTTGTGTCTTCACAGCAAAGACTGTAAACATACAACTTACAATGGGAAAAGATTGAGCCAGTTCATTTGCAGGTTCCTCGGTCCCTTTACCGAAACCAGGTCCATTTCCTCAGTGGTACTATTACGAACATGCTGTTTCCACGATGGGATTTCAGTAATGCACTGCTGAAAGATCTCTTAAATATTTAAGACATTTAACTGAAAAAATGGCAGTTTTTATCTTTCCAAAGAACTTCTTGCTCATCCAAGTCAAGAAGTTGCAGCTCATCGCTGTGACACTTCCTATGAAAATGTGAATATTTTCATATAGTGAACATTTACACCATATAGTTTTAAATAATATATTGAATACTCAAAGAAAAGCAGAGCTGGGGAAAATGGCTCGATTCCAAGTTTCTCAGTTCTCCTCTGCTAAGCTATATTTTGGACACATGGTCAGTGCTGACATGCATGAGCCTCGGTCAGATAAACGATCAGTGGTCAGGCCCACATTTCTGAATCAACCTCTGCAGTCTCTGCTGAAATTGAGCCGAGAGGGTAAGCTAACAAAGGGGATTAACTTGGTTTATTTTGCTAGAAAGAGATGGGGGGGATCCTCTGTTATGTCACCTTTTAAAAGTGGGATACCTTTTCTAACAGCAGCATACGCAAACACACTTTATACTTAATATTATGGTTTTATCTATTTCCAGTGTTAAAAGGAGCAGTTAAGGTTGAGGATGGATCACAATTTTTTTTTAATCTGTACTCCTGTGGCTCTTTTCCTGACTGCAAACTTTGTCCTGTAGCTGTCTCGTGTTATTGGTGGCTCAGTGAGGACTGAAACTCCCAGCCACAGAACTGATTCAATAAAACATTCCGCTGCGGAAAAAAAGCGGCACATCATTTTCTGAACGTTATGATCAGCTGCTCTGGATTTTTTTATTGCCTGAAGGCTGCATACATAAACGTATCTTATACAAAGAAACATGTTTGCATTTGAATCATTTTATACTATTCACTCACACAGATTTTCAGACTTTAACCATCCTGGTGGTTTGACACACAATAGTAGATGTTTCAACCTAAAACCACCTAAAACTGACCCATCAACAATGTCTTTTTTATTGTAATTATTTTTGTCTTGATTTTGATTTGGGTTTCTTTCAATCTGCCTACATGGTTTAGGAATTAAATCAATTTAACACTAACAAGCACTAAACTTTCCAAAATGATTCAAAGTGAATTCAGTGATGGATAATAATCTTTTTTTGCCTGCATTGTGGGTCGCAGATGGCAGACGCAGATGATAAAGAGGGCCACGTGTTTGAATATTTGACATTGTGTACTTTTTTTTTTACTTAAAGCAATAATTAAGGTGTATGAAATATTTCCCATGGGATCTTTTAGCAGGGGATTTAGTATTATGTACAGTACTGTTACTATTCAGTACAGTAACCTTGAGTGATATGCAGCCTGTATTTACTCTATTCAGGCTCAACTTGGTGTTTCTATAGAAAATAGAAACTAAAAATGTAAACGCATATTGCCTGAGAAAAGAATTTGAAAGCATTTTTTAAAAGAATATCTCTCTTAATTATGTTACATTTCTGTAGCTGGACCACTTCAGTGTTAATGTGGGAGAAAAAAAAATGCAAATCTAATTCTCAACATCACTTCCAATTATGCAGAAAAACGCAACAACTCAGCCTTCAACAAAGCAGCCGTAGCTTATGAATCAGATTAATATATGAGGATAATGACTCAGATGGTCAACCTGGACCTTTTTCCCCTCAAACTTTCACAATAATTAATGAAGATATTTCTTCCAGGAATAATGTTGGATAATATGATATGGAAACTGAAAGGAATATGCTTATGATGGAAATATGACACAGCAATGCATAAAGGTTTACACCGTATTTCCCACTTGTTTGTATGAGCTATGCTTGTAGTCCTGAAAATAGCACAGCCAAATGTGGTTTTGTGAGAAATTCCTGCTTTTTCGGAGTTACTTTACGCAAGCACAGCAAACAAAACAGCTGTGAATATATGTAAAGCCACAGTCTTGGGAACTGCTTTTCGTCCTCCGCCTCAAAGTTTTAAACTCTGGTGCTCACATGTCTCATTTAAACTGCTGTTTTAACGTGACAGAGCAAACTTAACATGGAGCAATGTGGGTGTGTTATTAATGGTAGGGATTCTGTTAGTTGTGAATAAATGATTTGGTTGAAGTTTTTTTCATTGAACAGTTTTAAAATGAATTTATTATTAAAATTGAACTGATAAATAGTAGTAAATATGACTGCACTACTTATAAAAATGTCCTCTGCATGAAGGTTTAAATTAATCACATTAATTAGAATGGTAGTGGAATTTATGTGTTACATTTGATTTATTAATCAACAACAAAAGCAACCTCCACCAATAGAAAAGAAGAATTATATTTTCTACCTGGGGGGTTCCTAGGGGGCTTCAGGTGCCTAATAGCATGTAAGCATGTAAAGTAGATAGAGAAACAATTTTGGCCACTGTAACATAAAGCAACATGGAGTTATAGAAGAAAGGCTATTAAAGCAATTTCTTTACAATATGGAGTTGATCTTTCTACAATAAGAAATATTGTGTACAAGTAGAAAAGACTAAAGACCAAGATATGGATTTCCAGAAAGTTCGACCTGAGGTCAGACATCACAATGCTCACATAAACTGCAAAAAGAGTTCAAGGGGAAAAAAAAGACCCACTATTCACACAGAAAACATGGTAAATGTTAAAGTTCAAAACAGCAGTCTTACATAAAAGAGAGTGAATGGGTACGTCCTGCGTAATTGAATTGCCATGAGGCAAGAACTAAATCTGAAATTACACCAGGCAGCACGGCGGCTGCACACTAATCTTAAAGGCCATCACAGAATAGCAATAAAACTTAAACAATTGAAATTACAGCAAAAAAAAAGGTGGTAGAATGTTCTAAACTAACAACGCTTCTCTTTACATTAGACAAACAAAAAGAGGAAAACAAAGATACTCTTTTTTATTCTGCAAGGAAATGTTCAGCATGTTTCAGAAACCCTTAGATTATCTGTTTTCACCAGTTGTACGTTTATTGTGCAAACAGAAGTGATCTTTTCTTCCATAAAATTAGAAAAAAATGAGTCAACTAACTACTGTTTAAAACACAGCATTTTTTTTCAGTGTCATTTGATAAACTCATCAATCATGTAACTTAAAGGCAGCATCTGGCTGAATTAGGCTCCAACTGAGAAAAGAAATGTGGATTAAGGTCTTAAAACTTGATAATGCTCCCATGCACATTGACAAGGGAAAGTCCAGTTGTGAATGCAATTTAATTTGTAACGTATTTTACCATCTAAACTGGTCACTGCTGCTACATTCACTTTACTTGTATTAGATGGTTCTGGCCTTATGTTTGACTCCTTGAGGCCACAATCTCAGTTTGCAGGTAATTCAAAGTTCTGGTTGAGAATTTGTCAGATTTGCTGCTCTATAACTTCCCTCCCAGCTCAGCGGGAGCCCTGCACATGCTCAGCCATACACGTGAACCTCTTGTCAGGCAGAATAGGTCACAAAGATGCCATCAAAAGCCTCCAACAGTGTCACTCGAAAGCAAAAAACCATGTGGCGCGAGGCTGGAAACCGAAGTCAAGACCTGTAGTATTTGAGGGCTCCGACACAATTTGAGGCAGGGAATGTGCATATATAAGCCCAGTGTACTTCAAAATATGTGTTTTTAACTGATGGCCTGCTTATTCCACACAAACCATGCCAAATAAGGACTTTGGCCATATCTGACGTTAGGGGACAACAGTTCTAAATGTCCTCAGTGTGACTTTTTTAAGGGACAAATCCATTGGAAAACTATTAATTGTCTCGTAGGCAATGTGAAGAATAATAATAATTTGTACCATGTTCTGAAATGTGTAATCTGCAGCTTTGTTCTTGTTGGGCTGTGAGCTGAATTACAAACCAGATAAGACAGATTTACTGTGGCTCATAAGTGTGGAATTCAAGAATCAGCTTAAAACTAGTGAAAGAATAATTGAAGTCCATCTCAAATGATGGCTTCTTTTACATTTTGCTCATTTTTCGCCTCCTTTGTTTGTTCTATCTTAGCATAGTTTACACTCTGTGGTACAACAGAGGCCAGACAAACGTTGAAAACTTTAAACAAAGCACTTTATCAAGAAATGCTGAAGTGCCGCCAATTGAGTCCTCAAAAATGTAAATAAAGGCGCTCGCTGACACCGAACCTGACAGAAATCTTTAATGATAACTCTCAAAAATGCTTGGAACTTCTTCTTTGTTTATAGCGCTGAATACCACGGAGGAGAAGGTGACGTGCCCGCTTGGATATTTCCCGTGTGGCAACCTGAGCGTTTGCCTCCCTCAGCTCCTGCACTGCAATGGCATCGACGACTGTGGAAACCAAGCCGATGAGGAGAACTGTGGTAAGTGCTCGTTTTTAGCTAATTGCTAAACATCTAGGTTTGCATTGTAAACGTCCCTCTACACAATTGGAGTCAAGATGCACACTGGTTTTGGTTTGGAAATAACTTTAAAAGATATTTATTGATTATTCATCTGTTATTATTCATTTATTGATCATTCATCTGTTGTTTACTAATTGTACTGACCACTGAAATCATCATTTTTTACTTTATGATTGAACGATGAATTGATTTCCTATTTATTTTCTTTAAAATCATATCTACTTTCAACAACTCAAATTAGATATAATCACCAGGGGTCAGATTTACTGCCACTGTATAACAACTAAATTGGTGGGTATGCAAACAGGGGGTATGAGTGCATGAGATTTCTTTTACTAGATTTAAAAAGCTGCTGTTTTTTGTTCACACTGCAACTAAGTGAAATTGTACACACCTGCACAAGTTTTGTTTTTTTTCTTCAACCTGTTGCCTGTAAATGGAAATTGAAAGCCTATAAAGAACCATTGTTCGATAAAAAGCTGTAAGCAGCGGCAGGATATGGAAGAAAGTAGACAGTAATAGGTGGATGTGTTTTTTTTTTACTTATTCAGTAGCACAAATTCAACAGGCATCACTAAATGCCTTTTTTTCACATCCAGCCTTTAAATGTCCTCAGTTTTGGACCTGTGTGTCACTGAAATCTGTGAGAGTGCACAGTGATGAAAAGGAAACACAAAGATCAATGCTCAACTGCAAATCAGTGTTGCAGTAATTGGTAGTTATCGATGACACTGCTCAGCGCACCTACAGAATGACAACTAAGTGAAGCCTCAGACTGGAAACAGAGATTGTCGATAAAATGTTGTGATAGCGTAGACAGTGTGAAATATAATGGCACCATCCATGGATAGCATTTGAGGAAAAGAGTACTCGTCTGATCAAACTTAGAGACATGAAAATAACCTGATGGCTATTGGCAGCATGTTCATTGACGGCTCCATTGTGGAAGACGGGAGTTGTGAGCATCTCCATGATGTTGAGGAGATGATAGTCAGAGATGGCAACACAGGAACTCTCCCTCTGAGAGGGCTCCCAGCTTTCAGAGACGGAATATTCCAGTTTAATAGGGGTCCCGTGGACACTGCCAGAATCGCACAAGAGTTTGTGAAGAAGAAAACGGGGAGTTGCCATTGGGTCCAGTTCACCCCTGTCATTGAATTGCTGGGGGATGTTGATTATGTTGAATGATTGATTTTGAAAGAAAAAGTCACTATTTTCAGGAAATTGCTGCAGCAGAGCTGTTATTTTAATTTAATTATGGTATTTTGATGCAATGAATCTAAATAGAATGAGGTAAAACGCACACTATTCGTCTTCATCTCCATTAGCGACATCCATACAGTTATGAATCACTGACATTTACGTGACACTGAACCAGAACGTAGTTATTTCTGGCATGTGTCTCAGAACAATGGCAGTTTATTGACATGATGAATTACTAGTAGGTGCGCTCACGGTCAAGCCCCAGCGTATGACTTTGCGTAACCACCGCTGCTCTTGTGTGTGATACATTTGATTTCAAGATATTCCAAAGACTATCTCTGACAAACGAAGCTATGATGCAGAGGACGCTTCATAGAAACATGCGGATCCCTTTGAAATCTGCTCATTTTTCTCAGCGCTCTCTGTGTTTTGGTGCGCCGCTTTTGCAAAGCTCAATGCTGACCTCCCTCTGACCTGGACAGCCAGAGCCAGTTTATTCCATTGCTACACAAAATAAAATGTCATGATATTTATAGGGGTATAGAAATATAATAAAATATCACAGTGCCCCTGTATTTTATGAATTTTGCCTTCTGTTGATACAGCACACTGCCTGAGCTTCATAACACAGACAAAAATATTATTTTTATATCTGTTTCTCTTCGTCTAACCTGTCGAATCTGACCTATTCTGGATTTTTTTGTTTATCGTTCTTCGTTTGTTTGTTTTTCAGTGGCAAACACTTCTTGTACAACATCTTGCCGGCAGCTCAACCTTGCACTTCTAAAGACATGCAGAAGTTTTGGAATATGATCAATTATTAATGATTCAAAATAGTGCAGAAGAATGGAAAAAAATAAATTAAAATCCGCTTTCACATATCTGTGACTCGCCACTTAACGACCTGAATGCAGGCTGCAACAAAAGATGATTTTTTTTTTTTTTAACAAAGTGAGATTATTTAGAGATTCTTAATATAAAAAGTAATGCTTCAAACTGATGACTTCTCAGTTTCCTTGATCTCCTGATAAACAGCTGAAGAATGTGAAAACAGGTTTATGCATGACTGATTTCCGGAATCATCAATCATAGTATCCTATAAGTCAGTTTCCATATTATGATAAATTACTTTTTCCTCGTCTTTCTTACTTCCACTCTCAAGCCTACATACATTCAATTTACAGAGAAAAATTCTGGCATTGTGTCGCGTGTTCAGTAAATGCTGGCTGGCCAAATTGGGATCATTCAGTGGTTTAGATCTAGTAGTACATATACAGAATAAGGATTATACAGTGATTTACTCATCTGTGAAAATCACACAGTCTGCTCTCATTCTATACAGTGAACATCGCAGCTGGAAAATAGCTGTGTCCTTTAGTAATTAGGTCAGGAGCAGTGTGGACACTGTAAATCCGCTGTGGTGTGGAGTGTGTCTCTTAGTGTGGCTGCCCCACAGTTTGAACACTTGCTTGAAATGCGACTCAATACTCAGTTGCAGCTTTATTTCATCAGTTCTCTTTAGATTAGAGACGTACATAACACCCTGGGCACTTAGTGTAGGACTTCTTCTCGGTGGTCAAACGGCAACTTTGAAATCTTTCATCAGACCAAGCTAATGTCGTTCCCTCGTTGTTAGTGTTCCATCCTGTTTGAATCTTAATGTATGTTATATTATTTTTTTTCAAATGGCTACAAATGGAATAACTCCTCTGTTAACTGTCTTGGTAAAATGAATATTAATGATGTAATATGTCTGCCTCACACATCTTGAACTTTATGGTACTAACTTTAAGGATTTATATTATATTCTGATACTAACAATTAAAAAAGTACCTAGTGACAGAGATACTGAAATGAAGCGGTGAGTGAACTCAGTGCACTGTATTGAGTTTGTATGAAGACACAGTAGCTCTTGACCATTTAGTTTGACCATTGTCTCTGATGTTAAATTATATAGTCTCACTCCAGTTGTCCCATGTCGGAGAAAACACCTTTGTGTCACTAGGAGTAACAAAAAATTCAAGTATTTTAATAGTTTTGCCAGTTGACTTTTGGAGGGCAATGTTTATGTGATGTGAACCAATCATGCCTCCCCACGTTTTTCATCATTTGCAAACCTACTTGTTTTATAAAAAATCATAAATATTCTTATCTATCCAAACCGAACCATCATAACCATTTAAAAATTAAAGATTTCCTGGAAATGTTTTTTTCAGATGGTCCCTTTGGCTTTATACACAGTTCTTAACAGATTTTTTTGACTACCATTCAATATAAAGTTTATACCTCACTAATCCTAGAATTAGTAGTGTTAGTAGTTACCCAAATGATTAGATTATATTATTGTCATGGTTAATACACCACTATGTAAAAGCTTGAATTAATTTTGTTTTCAACATTGTTTTTCATTTTAAACAAATATATAGATCGTGTAAAATTCAGTTTCCAATCCTGATTAATTTCAAACGGTTAAACATTTAGAGCTCTCTGCAAATGAGAGATAAAGATGTCACACGGTGGTGAAGTATGCTTTGGAATCTATTTCAGATACTGATATTCACAGCATGAGCCAGAAAACTGATGTATAACTGAAACTCCTAAATGTTTTGGGGCCAGAAACAGAAGTGGGACCGCTGGTACTCCTCAGGTAAAGATGAATGCTTTTAGAACAGAGCTTGAGAAAGTCTCCATAGCGACCACACGTATGGCTGCTGCTAAGAAGTGAGGGAGAGGAGTACTGAAGCCTGAAATCCATCCAGAAACACCTGGAGGAGCCCAATCAAAGTCCATGTGGGATTTGGAAAATTCATGGGAACAACTAAAAGCTATTTTGGACTTAATAAGACAGGAAATTGGCCAAAAATAGATTAAAAACAGTGAGGGTAAGAATTTGAGAACATAGAAATATGATAAAAGACTATTTAGATCTTATATACCGAAATAAATCATTCTTAACATCTGTTTTAAAAAGGGAACAGAAAAACGCTCTGTTTGGAATACAAGTCCTCTGAAGAGCACACATTTCACACATCTAACATTTCACCTGCGTATTGTGGATTTTTACATCATGTTACTTGTATATCGCACCTTTACAGCTTTTGGGTGACTTTGACACCAACACCTCACCGTTTGCAAACTGCGATTTGCTTTGGATCAGATTATGCATCATGTATATATTACCCTCTGAATGCAAAAGTAAATAGTAAAAATAGCCTGGCTGTTCTACTTTGGAGTGAGACTGTATCTTTTACCCGTCTTGATATTGGGTTACACAGGAGAACCAGATTGTTCAACTCAAAAACAGGAAGTCAAAGGGCCAGACAAGACCATTTTAGCAAGTATCTGAAAGTTTCAAAACAGTTTCCCCATCTGTCAGGTAGACAGATCCATCACGCATGTGTTTGACCTACCAGGATGTAAAAACTAATCACTGTCCTGACATGAATGTGCACTGGCAGAAAAGCTGAGTGCTTTCTTAAATGCACCATTTGGAGGCTGTTTCCGAGGATTTCAAGTGAGCAGAAATGTCTTTCAATTCATAGACGCCGACTCAAGATCACAATTTTCCCTACAGGTGTAAGAGCTACAAAACACTTACAAGCTTGAAATCAATGGCGTACGTGTGAGGAATAGTTTAACTCAAAGAGAACAGAGTCGGTCGGGAGAGCTTGATATCTAGTTGGAGTTGCCTTTTTTTATCTTTAGCTGTCAATCTGCCATGTTCCCTTGTTAGTTGTTTTTTATGGGGGAAATGT